TTTCTGCCAAAATCCTCTGGGTTTCGAGATTATTTTCTGAGTTCCTGGGATCATGGCCATTAAGCAGCTTGATCAGGAACCAGAGAGGCTATACCTCCAATTATATAGCTGAGCCCGAGGTGGTTTGTGGGTGTGTCTCCCACATACCTAACTTTTGGCTGTTTGCTTTCTTGGTAAACTTTGCCCCAAGATTTTGGACCTGGCCAAAGGCACATCAGCAATTTTGGGGTATCTGAAGGCATCATCAGGCTGCTGATGTACTCACCTCACAGGTACAAATTGACCTGCTGGTGGCACCATACCCCCCCCCCCCTTGATTTTATTGAGGTGTGTTTTGTGGCCCAGCATGTGGTCTAGCTTGGAAAGTATTTCATGTGCATTGGAGAAGGAGAAGAATGTGTATCCGGCTTTTGGCAGAAATGTGTCTGGACCGCACAGTAGGTTACTGGCAATGGTTCACACCAGGTGGGAGGATTAAAAATCCTGTATGTGTCTACTAACTCTCTCTCTTCCATTTCTTCCTTCAGGGCCAGTACTTCTTGCTGAGTTTTAGTCCTGCTGATCTACCAAGAGGTGAGAAAGTGGTGTTGAAGTCTCCATGTACTCCTTGAAGTTTACTCGCAACTGTTTTAAGTATTTTGCTGGCCCTTAATTGGGTGCATATATGTTTAGGAATGTAATTTCTTCTTGAGGTAGCACAGTAGCACTGTCCTCCCGTTGTTCATCAATTTGCTCGAGCGGGCACCAGTAATGCCTCCATTGTGAGCCTCGTTGTTACTGTTTTTGGCATATCAAATACTCCACGGGGAGCTTGCCAGGCTCTGCCATTGGGCAAGATACTCTTGGTAGCAGAAATATGCTCTCTTCTTATCAGCCTGGCACAGGAGTCCACTACTTGTTGCTTCTCTTTCTGGAGCTAGTAGGTTAGATGTGTAATGATACAGATTTTTTCTTTTTACTTTAAAGTGGTCTGGCATATAGCCAACCTAGGTTTAATCTCCAGCAGTCCATGGATCTCTAGACTACCATGCATCTCTACAGGCTATGCATCTCTATAGGCTTTTCAGTCTGAGGTTCTTCACTTTTAAAAGGTAAAGTAAAGTAAAGGCCCTCCCGTTGATCATCGATTTGCTCAAGCGGGCCCAGTATTGTCTCCATTGGAGACTTTGTTGTTACTGTGTCTGGCATATCGAATACTCTCGGTAGCTTGCCAGGCTCTCCGAGAGGGGTGGAGGAATCGAACTCGGGTCGGCCATGTTGGCTGCGTGCAAGGCAGACGCCCTACCTGCTGTGCTATCGCTTCGCTTTTAAATCAATTATCTTTCTCTCAAGCATGAGGGAAATTGTGGAGGAGCCCAGGTGTGCAGGACCCAGGGCAGAGATCTCCAAGCCTGCTCAGTTCGGAACTGGGCTTCCTCACCCAGATCCCCCATCTTCTACATATTGGATTTTAATAATTTGCCTTTGCTGTCCCTTTGAATCTTATCCAGCCTGAAATCTATATTGTTGGATATTAGTATGGCCACACCAGGTTTTTTGAAAGAGTTGTTTGCTTGAAAAATTGTTTTCCCTCCTTTGGCTTTGAGTCTATGTTTGTTCCAACTATTCAGATGTGTTTCTTGTATGCAGCAGAATGTTGCATTTTTAATGCCCCATTCCCCCCTTCCCTTCCTTCTGTGATTTACATTTATGAAACTTGAGGTTTTCCTTTAAAGTCTCATCCTGTTCAGTTTTCTGGAGAAAAGAAGCATGTCTGTGACTGGATATCATGGGACATGCCATTTAGACTGTGACCACAGACACTGAGCAGTAAAGGCAGGAAGGAAGAGAGAGTGAGAAGTTTGGACACATGTTCATGGCTCTAGCCCCTGATGCCTGCGCCCTGAGATATTATAGAAGAGGACAAACAGCTCAAAGAAGTGATTGGAGAAGAACCACATTCTCATCACTGAGCTGGGAGATGCAACCCACACACTTTGTGTGGCAGGGATACTGACCAGAGAGCTACTCTACAGCTGGACCCACTACAGCAGCTCCAATGAGATTATCCTGTTTCATCCAGGAACTGATTAGAAGGTGCAGCTTCCTAGTGGGAACAGCCAAGAGAGATGCATGTACGAGTTTGGACCTTCTCTTCCTAGGCCTTACATACAACTGAATGTATATAGTGTGCATTGAGTGTTGTCTGGGTAACACGTGGAATGCATTAGCAGAGGCACATCATAGAAACAAAAATGAGAATAGAGGGACCAAAGTGATAATACAGCAGGCAGGGCACTTGCCTTGTAGGCATTCAACCTGAGTTTTATCCCTGGCACCCCATAAAGTCTTCTGAGTCGACCAGGAATGATCACAGAGTAAGCCCTAAGAACAGCCAGTTGTGGCCCCAAAATTAAAATAGACAAATAAGTGAGAAGAGAAGAGAAGAGAAGAGAAGAGAAGAGAAGAGAAGAGAAGAGAAGAGATGGTTGGGGAACATGGGGACCATTCCAAGCAGCGAAGGACTCTAATTTGGAGTGATATTAAAATGATTAAGGCTGAGAAAGGGAACCACTCTGGCTGAAGTTTCAAGGGTGCGGCACCAGAGTGTTTGTCTGAAATAAATGTCCTATGAGAAACTCAGATTTTAAGTCCAGTAGGATGTTTTTTTTTTTTTTTTTTTTTTTTTTATTTTTTTGGGGGGGTCACACCAGGCAATACATGGGGTGACTCCTGGCTCTGCACTCAGGAATTACTCCTAGTGGTGCTCGGAGACCATATAGGGTGCTGGGAATCGAACCCGGGATGGCCACATGCAAGGCAAACGCCCTACCCGCTGTGCTATATCACTCTAGCCCCAAGTCCAGTAGGATGTAACCAGAGACTGATAGGACTTCGACAGTCTCCAGCAAATAAGGAAATGCAAGAGTAAATAGGTGTGGTTTGAAGTAGGCTCTGAATGAAAAGTCTTTGGATGCTAGGTAGGAAAGTCCATTAATGACAAGCATGGGTGGGGGTGGAAATGAACCATGGACAATGGACACTAACTCTAGATAAAATTGGGATTTCAATCTCTTTGGATTTGCCACATGCATATTCATTTCCTGTATTCAGTAGCACTGTAGCATTGTCCTCCGGTTGTTCATCCATTTGCTCAAGCTGGCACCAGTAACATCTCCATTGTGAGACATGTTGTTACTGTGTTTGGCATATCGAATATGTCATGGATAGCTTGCCAGGCTTTCCCTTGCAGGTGAGATACTCTCGGTAGCTTTCTGGGCTCTCTGAGGGGGCAGAGGAATCGAACCTGGGTTGGCCAGGCTGGCTGCGTGCAAGGCAAATGCCCTACTGCTGTGCTATCGCGCAAGCCCTGTATTCAGTAATAAAAATTTTCACTAGGTAATACTTAGAGGTACTGTTGAGGATTTAAAAGACTACAGGTGATATTTTTAAAATACAGAGAAAAAATTAAGTAAAACAGGTACTTAAAATATATTGTTCGGATGTTTTTATTATTAATGCAAGTAATCTTTATTACCTATAAGTAACCTTATTAGAGTGAACTACTCTTTCTAAAATAATTATACTTTTAAGTTTATAAAAATATTAATGAAATTGAAAGATAAAAGACATGCAGATATTTAGCAGAATTTGCAAAATTCTTAGTAGAATTAAAATATTTTTACATAAAACCATAAAACAACACCATATACTCCTGTTATGTCTCTTTTGCATATGTTCTGCTATCAGACCTTTGTTTTCATCATTTCACTCCCAATTAAATTTTTCTATAGTAATCAGTACTTATTGTATAAAAATATATTCTTCAACTTGATGGACTTTAAATTCATAGCCTACAATCAACTATGCCCCACCAAAGTATAAAGACTATACTATCTCTCTTCTCAAAAATGTCTTGAATTTTCATAATTCAATTCCTCTGCCCACAAAATTCACTTCTTAGTAGTTTCTCAGAAGTTACCTAACTTTTGGAAATTCAAGATTACTTTAATAATATTCTCTCAACAGAAAATGGGATGAGTACATAGTACAATTTTGTAGACCTCTACATAGTTTCCCTATAACCTACTGAGGTCTTCTGGAAGACTATATGTCACCAGATATAATTTCTTTGCTGAAACCTACCCACATTTTATTTTCTCACCATTGGAGGAATCGTCTGCTCTCAGAGGGTTTATTGCTGAATAACTTCCTTGGAAATTTGTAACATTTGGCTTTATGTCCTATTTTATGCTATGGTCTTTTCTGTCCCTCCCAATACTACTTAAAGTTTTAACCAAATATGTCTTATTTTCCACACTGAAACTGCAGTTTAAGAGCAAGAAATGGTTTGGTAATCTTTTTATTCTAAGTGTCTAGTTCAGAATCTGATATGACTAAATGAATATAAAAATTATAAGCTCCTTTTTAGTGTTAGGAAAACTACCTTACTTTCACTTTAAAATTTTCAGAATCTTAAATATAATAGAACCTTATAAGGAACAGGTAAATAAGAGTAAACACTTATGTACTATGAAAGGACCATCAAGTGTCCAAACCATTCCCTATGAAAACACCCCAATTAATTTTTATGTAGGTAGGCAAAGCCTATTTTATGAACTCTAGGCAAAGCCTATTGAATCAATTTTGTATAACCTTCGCTCAAAATCCATTCTCCATTTTTCTCTCTAGAGAAGTCCGTTTTCTTTTGAATGGTTCTTTCTCTCTGCTCATATTTCTCTAAGTTTCTTTCAATAAAAAACAATTTTGCTTCACTGAAAAAATTAATAAAGTAAAATTAATTTACTTTAGCCTGTAATTTGGGAAATAATTCACTCTGTATCCTTTTGGTTTTATTTTAAAATTATTGTGTGTACCGCTCTCTCCCCACTTCCCCATACACATCTTAAGATCTGTAGAAAAATTGAATGTGACTATTGTCCTAAGCCTGTAGGACCATTGGATAACCTAAACCAGATAAACAGTGGGACTTTCTGTCAGCAGATGATACCAGTACTCACCTGTCTGTCAAAGGTGTGATCACTAGGCGTGGTGTATTTCCTAGGTACTCATAGGAATATAGAAACTGGGCATCACAGATATTGGCAAAACAATGTTTATCCTCATCATCCCAGCGATGACGTAACTGGGATAGCCAGAGGAAGGCCTGAGCATTGTCTACCTAAAGAGAAAATATCAGAGTAAGTAAGTGAATTACAGCATCATATAACAGGGAGGGGAGGTTTTTTTATCCTTCCTAAATTTTTATTAGTGAAACACCATGAGATAAAGTTGTAGACTTACAAATTTTTGTGCTTGGGTTTCAGTTATACAATGATCGAATAACCATCTCTCCACCAGTGCCCATTCTCACCACCACCAGTCCCAGTATCCCTCCCTCCCCCCATCCCCCCATCCCACCCTACCTCTGTGGCAGGGCATTCCCTTTTGTTATCTTTCTCATTTTGAGTGCTGTGGTTTGCAAAAGAGACACTGACTGGCAATCTTGTTTGGTCTGTAGTCTACTCTTATCATGCATTTCCCATCCTGAGAGGAATCTCGCAACACCCTTTATTTGGTGCTCCCTTCTCGATCTGAGCTGCCTTTTGCCCTAGAGTGTGTGGCTGTCCTCAAAGCCATAGAGTAATCCTCCTGGTACTTATCTTGGCTATTCTAGGGTGTTAGTCTACTATTTTGTTACTTTATGTTCCCCAGATGGATGCAATCTTTCTATGTCTGTCCCTTTCTTTCTGAGTCATTTCGCTTAGCATGATACTTTCCATGTAGTACCACTTGTATATGAATTTCATGACTTCATCTTTTCTAACAGCTGCATAGTACTCCATTGTGTAGATGTACCAAAGTTTCTTTAACCAGTCATCTGTTCTCGAGCATTCAGGTTTTTTCCAGATTCTAACTATTGTAAAGAGTGCTGCAATGAACAAACAAGTGCAAATGTCACTTCGACTATACCTTTTTGGCTCTCTGGGGTATATTCCCAGGAGTGGTATTGCTGGGTCCAATGGGTGCTCAGTTTCTAATTTTTTGAGGGAAGGGAGTTTTAGCCTGTATTTCAGAACACAGGAATGTTTAGCTGATTAGATGTTGTTTGCCAGTAAAAAGCAGGGAAACTTGAAAAGCCGGGCATAGAAAGTACTATTTGCATAAATATGGACGGAACATGCAAGGAAGAAAGAAAAGTCTCCTTAACAAAAAAATAATGTTGGGGGACAGGGAGAGGGACATACAAACAATTTGACATATAAAAACATTCATTCAAAATGGATTTAGGACTGGAAACAACTATATCCATAGAGGAAAACAGGTGATGTACTCCTGGAGAGCAATCTCAGTATTTGCAAGGGTGGAGAGGTAGTACAGTGGGTTGGACACTTGTTTTGCATGCAGATGACCCAGGATTAATCCCTGATATTCAATATGGTCCTCTGAGCAGCCAGGAGTAATTTCTTAGCAAGACGAAGTATGGTCCCAAAATAACAAACACTTGGAGACTAACTAACTAACTAACTAACTAACTAACTAACTAATGAAACAAAACCAAATATAAACAAATGATATTAAGAAAACTAAAAAAGTTTATACAATGTAAAAAACAAGAACACAGAAAGAAGCTAAACAAATGAAGATGAAGATGATATTTGCTGAATGTTCAACAGGCATTAATACCCAAAATTCTTAAATAATGAACTTAACAGAAAACAGTTTTAAGTTTTTAAATGAAAAGACTTGAATAACCACTTCTACAGAAAAGTTTAGGTGCATAAGGACATGTGTGATATTACTGTTATCAAGGAAATGAAATCAAAAGGAAAATGAGTATCATTTCAGACCTGTGAAAATGGTCTGTAGCAAAAAGACCAGAAACAAGTGCAGGCAGCAGCGAGCTCCGGAGACTGTGAAGGATACGGCTGTCAGTGCCTGAAGAGCAGATGGGGCCATAAAATTTCTGCATGAGTGAATGTTGGTCTTCCTGGGATATTCTGTCTCAGGGGGAGAGCCATTAAATGGAACTGGCCAGCTGCCCGCTGTGGAGCATCAGCCCGGAATGGGACTCCTGAGAATGGCAGCAGTGAGGCTCAGTGGGCAGAGCCAACGTAGCTCTCGACCTCTCAGAGCTATGGGTGGTGGCAGAGTTTTACAGTGACTGAATAGGGTTCTTTGGGTCCAACACAGTGCCATTGGGGAGCACAGGTCCTGGAGTTGTGGGTAGCCTGGGTTCCCACTATGGGGCCCTGGCAGGGAGTCACTGGTGGAGGGGGGGGGCACTATCATTTCTTTCCCAGACAGGCCCATGCATTTGCAGCATATTATGGAGGAGGACCTCCCTGAGCGCCACTGTCTGGAGATCGCAGATTGGGGCTTGTGACCCCTGGTCAGGTTCTACTGGGTTGGGTTGGTGGCTGCGGCCGCCCAAAGCACCCACACTGCAAATGGTAGTCGCAGCTCTGAACCCGCCTGATCCCTGCTGGGTCGTCTGCTGCCATCAGCACTGGGGCCTAGGGGGCTTGGCACTGGCAGGCAACCTGGACCACAGGGATAGTGAATCAGCAGCCTGATGGTATGCCCAGGCTTTCTGACACCTCCAAATCACCGGGATTTCATTGTGGGATATGCAGGATTCAACAACATATTCAACAATATGCAGGATCCAACAACTCAGGGCCAAGTTTTCAGAGAAAAGAAATTAAACCACATAAAGTAAGGTATGGGGTAGAGTGATAGCACAGTGGGAGGGCTGTGCTTCCTGAGCCGGGTTCGATTTTTTCCACCCCTCTCGAATAGCCAGGCAAGTTAACGAGAGTATCTCCCCTGCAGGTCAAAGCCTGGCAAGCTCCCCGTGATATATTTGATATGCCAAACACAGTAACAATAAGTCTCACAACGGAGATGTTACTGGGCCCGCTGGAACACATTGATGAACAATGGGAGGACAGTGCTAAGGACAGGGGCTAAGTGCTAACGTAAGGTACAGAGGAACTATGCCCAAAAATTATCTCTGGTTCAGCCTAACAAGCTCATTTATTATAAATAAATCTCAAAAGAGATCAAAACCGGCAGTTAGTCTTGGAGCTGTGCAAGGCTAAACATGAGCTGCACATTGGAAGGGAGCAGGTTAGCCCAGTGCCACCTGCAGAGTCCTCAGCAGTCACTTTCTCCCACAACCCAAAATTGTCACCATGCCCTGGGCGTGACTCTGTCATCTCAAGACAGACCTCACCAAAATATTAGCCTGTTGAAAATTTCAGTATGCGGGTTTTGTGATTGAAATCTCTGGGCTTTCTCAGGATCAGGATGGGCTACCCCCCTATGCACCTGTATTTCCAGAAGCCCTGGCAGTCACATCCAACCCCCAAAGCCACCACCTTGTTTAACAAAAAACTATTCCAGCTGCACCATTATGATAAAAATACTGAACACTCTGAACAAACACTATGACCTCTTAGCACTTGTATTGCAAACCATAATGCACAAAAGGAGAGAGAGAGAGAGAGAGAGAGAGAGAGAGAAATAGAGAGAGAGAGAAAGAAGAAAGTGCCTGCCATAGAAGCAGGCAAGGAGGGGGTTAGGGTAAGGAGTGCTGGGTAGGAAACTGGTGGTGGGAAATATTCACTGGTGGAGGGAAGGGTGTTGGAACCATTGTATGACTAAAACCCAATTATGAATATCTTTGTAATGATATATCTCACAGTGATTCAACAAAAAAGAAAAGAAAAAAAGAAACAAGTACAGTAATGTAAAGAAAAAAGGCATGCTCATACACTGTTGGTAGGAATAATATAAACTGGTACAGTGATTGTGGAAAATGATCTGAAGAGTCTTAAAAAGACGAAAAAAAAAAGAAACTACCATACAACATAAAAATAGGACTCCTGCATGTTTTGTAAATAATATGAAAATACTAATAAGAGAAAATGTGTATTCATGTTTTCACAGAAGCATTATTCACAATATTAAAAAATCAGTATAAATGTCGATAGATGGATATCTGGATAAAGAAATTTTGGTATTGTATCTAATAAAATACTACTCAGCTATTAAAAATGATAAAATCTTGTTCTCTGCAATAACATGATCTTAACTTGAGATGATTATGCTCAACAAAATAAGTCAGAAATAAAAGGCGAAACATAAATAAGAAATGAAAACCAAACCAAACAAACACAACAAAACTGACTCAGTCTCAAAAAAATAGGGGGAGAAGAAAGGATATTTGGAAGAAGGAATAGAGTATTTCAATGGCCAAAAAACTAGACGTTTGGTGTGCATGTATGTATATTGATTAAGCATGTGCACATATCAAAAGATGAATACATAGTAACAAAATTATATGATACTGTAAGACCAATGGCATATCAAAAAATAGGCCTTTGAAAAAGAATCATCTGTTAAAGATCTTTTGGGAAAGTTAAGAGGGGTAAAGAGTCTTTCCTTGAAACAACCCAAATGCCCAATTACAGATGAATGGATATAGAAGTCATGGTGTATATATACATAACGAACCACAATGTATCTCTTAAAAAGAACAAAATTGTGCAATTTGCTGCAACATGGATGAAACTATAGGATAACATGCTGAATGAAGTCAGTCAAAAGGAAAGGGATAGATATAGAATGATCTCTCTCATATGAGAGACTTCAAGATATACAGCAAGGTAGCAACAATGGTCCCAAGGCAACAGAAGGGGAGAATTGATCCATAAAATTGAATTGGCAGTGGATTGGGGAAAAAGGACTCTAGGATCCTTAGGATAGGAAGGGCTATACTGATGATGTGTGTGGTATTGGAATTATGTGCATGATAAACCATTATTGTATATCGCAAAATCTCAATATAAAAAATCAAATCTAAAATAGAAGTCATGGGAATCTAAAAAAAAATTCCTTCCTTAGAATTCTTTTAGAAATACTATGTGAAAAATTACATACACACCCTTCTCCTCAATAATTCTACCTGGAAAATGTATTCCTGTAATATTAAAAATATATTCCTTTATTATTTAAAAATATGAGTTTCCCTGATTACCATTTTTCTGAGGGTTTTAAATGAGTGGTCAATGTGATCCCATCCCAACTCTCTGGCTAGTAGAAAACCTGGGAATTTAGTGTTTTAGCCATATTTAAGCTTTTCTCTAATGTCAGCACTCATAGTTTAATCATTCACTTTAATAAGGGACATTCCTGGATGTTTTAAACTCACCTTCTGAGCAATCATTTTGGACACTACATCGCGGGCATGTACATCAATGGTACATATGGTCATAATCTTCTGTCGGTCTCCCTTGGAGAGCTGGCCGATCAGCATAGTGATAAGTGTTTTAAGTTGGGCCACCTGCTTTTTATAATAGTCTTTCATGGCATTCTCATAACCTTCCTCCAGTCTTGAAAATGTAATGCCCACCTCTGTTGTCCACCAGATCTGAGTGCAGGTCAGAGCCACCTATGGCACCAAGAATCACTTAATAGTAAAGTTGACAATAGAACTTCCTCCAAAACATACCCACTCATCTCACATCTCAGAATTTAGTTAGTTGAATGGCATACACTCCTTCCCTTTCTCTTCCACTAGCACTGATTATGTGAATCACATGCACTAAATATCCTTGATGTCATCAAGTTGGCAAACCACAAATGGAGAAAGAACACTGCTCTGAGAATGATTAAGGACTAACTCTGTTAAATATCACTGATTTCTAGAACCTGTTACACTAATCACACTCCACTTCACTTTTACTTTCTAAGGGTGCCATCTTTCTCATGCTTGAGGAGATAATAATATGTTGGTTGATCATTTTAATGAAAGTCTGCTCTTGAAATTATTTTGGTCCAAGCATTCTAGTTTAGTGAGTCATCTAGTTTACTGATTACCTGTGGCATACTATTACATGTTGAAAATATTTACTTTTTTATTTATTAAAACCAATAATATCAACATGTCTACATTTTAAGACAAAAATGAGTAATACCAAAACAAAATATGAGTCATATGATTTGCATTCTCAGAGATTCAAAATAAGTGCATAGAAAATGATTGAAGAAAATAATATAGAAAAGAATAGTTTTATTATTAATTATTGACATTTTTTCTTTTTTTTTGCCATTTGGGTCACACCCAGCAATGCTCAGGGGTTACTCCTGACTCTGCACTCAGGAATCACTCCTGGTGGTGTTTGGGGAACCATATGGGATGCTGGGAATCAAACCCGGGTTGGCTGTGTGCAAGGCAAATGCCCCACCCGCTGTGCTATTGCTCCAGCCCCTATTAATGACATTTTAATTACAGTGATCATATGTAGTATCATTTGCTTAAGAATAAAATGTTCTAGAGATATTGAAAGTAGGAGAAAATAGGAGCCAGTGATAGTAACTGCCTTGCATATGGCAGAACCGGGTTCAATTTTCGGCATCCCATATGGTCCCCTGAGCATCACCAGAAGTGATTCCTGAATGCAGTCAGGAGTAATCCCCGAGCATCGCCACATGTGCTCTCCAAAAACAAACAAAGGAGAGTAAGATGAAATACAATTTCTTGCCTCAAAAATCTGGCTTAGGTAAAAAAAATTAGATAATTATTCCTTTCATAAAATAGCAAATCTTGTTGGAAAAATAGTTTAAAATAATTGTTCTTTATATTTTGCTTTTGGATTTTGGTTTTGGCCTTGCATTTAGATGCATTGGCTAAGGTGAAGAAATTATTCTTGTATTGAATTCCTGGATAATTTTGCCAGTAGCTAAATATATATACATACACATATGTATATTCCCTTCTGTAATTCAGATTTTTTTCCATTTTCTTTTGCCATCCTCTCAATAAATACTTGCCATCAACATTTTTTCACATCTTTTCATAATTTTGTTAGGTAGTCTCTTATCTACATTTTCACTGAAACAGCTTCACCAAGTTTATGGACATTCCTCAGTCTTTCTAAAGCCAAGATTAAGGTATATAGCAACATAAAATTAAAGGCACACAGCAGTTTTTATCCTTACCTACTGTCAATAGTTTTTTGGTATTTTTTTTTACTTTCATGATCATCATCTCCTACTTTGCCTTCTTTCTAAAAAGGTACTGCTTTTCTTTCTACTTTCACGGTCCTTCCTTGACAACTCAGTGTTTTAATAATAAACAAGAAAGCATAAAAGATTTATATAAGAGGGTATACAAATTCTATACATTCACCTAAATCTAAATATTTTACAAAGGTAACTACATATACTCCTAAGACTTCAATTACCATCAAGGGATTTTAATCTCCAAATATATAAACTCTGCTATTAACAAGAGGGAGGACAATATTGCAACCCGTCTCTTTGTAAAAATTCCTATTAGTTCTCTTTTCATTCATTTTATCCTCATAAAAATCCTATAAATTATTCAACTATATCAAAGAATCTAGTCAGATTTCCTTCTATGGTCTGGTAATAACTGTCATTTAGTTCCTTCTCCAGAATCCATCTGCTGTTGCCATTTCTTCTGACCCTTACTATTGCTTCAGCTAGTCCTAGTTCCTCTAAATTTCATAAATCATGATCCTTGATTTTCGTCTTTTGCCTGATGATAGGGATATTTTTGGTTGTTCCTTACCTCCAACTTTGACTTGCTAAGTCCTATTAAAAGTAGGAGCATGTATAAACTTACATATTGTATTCTTCAGAGAGAAAACCCCTAGTCACTAAATATATGAATGAGTACACTGACTTTACTATTATCATGCCAGGTCTTATTAGCAAGTAACTAACTTTCACACAAGCCTGTAAACCCTAGAAGGAAGGGATTTCTTTGTCTTGTCCCTGGATTATGTCCTCTATATTCAGTACAGAGCTTGGCATATCCAACGTAGATTGGTCCAATCAGTTGAATTTTTTACACTTTATTTTTACTAGTGCTAACTAGTAATGATAAGATGGATAATCCTGGATTCTCCAAGGTAAGGTAAAGGTTGAACAGCATCATGCATGGCAATCATCCTGCTACCTCCATCTAAACCTATAGACCATTCTTTCCTGAGTCTGGAGAACCCAATACATTGGATATGTGGTATCTTGTAAAGTTACCAGTCAAGGTCACTGAGAAAGAAAGGCTAGAGTTGAATGGAAGCACACAAATGTCCCAGGCAGGAGAATACCTGAGCTGGGTAGTCAAAGAGCCACTGTTCCCTTGGCTTCTCTTCATATGCAGTGACACCTTCTGTCATCTCATGCCTCACAGTGGCCTTCATGTGAGCAAGAACATGGTTCAACCATATTTCTACCTTAAAGACAAAATAAAATAGCAGGCAACTCTATTAAACATCGAATTTCAAGAAGCTAGGGTAGATAACCAACATCAAAGAGATGTCTAGCTGATGAAACTCCCAGGTAGATCAGTCTCCAGACTGAGAACCCTAGGGCCTTCTCAGGATGGGTGCAGGCCAAGTCCCCAACATATAGAAGGCTCAGAAAACCTACTGACACTCAATATCTTCCAGCATACAAATGGCCCAATTTCACACATCACGACTAATCTCAAAGAGATATCAGGCCAATGAATCATCCCAGTTCCACAGCTCCTAGAGAATGCGGCCACACATGCATGATCACACAACTTCTAAATTTCACAATACTGATTGCTGAATGGCTGTGCAGAAAATCACATGTGAGTATTGCATAGTAGCTCACAAGGCTCAATGAGATAAAACATTAACACAGAAGTCTCAGCTAGCACCAAACAGCTTGGTAAATCCTCAGATAAGGACTTTAGTAACACCACTGTGAGATATAACAATTTCAAAAATGTTCTTTTTCGATAATTTTGTTTGCCCATTTTTGGTAGCAAGCAATATAAGGTAAATTATTTTTTATCTAACAAGGGGACAGGCTTGGTGGGTAGGTATGAAACTAGAGACACTGGGTAAGAAAAGGTTATATTGGTTGTGGGATTGGTTTTGGAATATTGAATTATTAAAACATTAGTATTATGAACAACTATAATAATAGTGTCAAATTGTTTTTTTTTTCAAAGAAGCTATGGTGGAGGACCAAATAAAGGGTGTTGGGAGGATACTCCCAGGATGGGAGATGCATGCTGAGAGTAGACTTTAGACGAAACATGATTGCCACTCATTGCCTCTTTTGCAAACAATAGCACCCAAAAGGAGAGAGAGAACAAAGGGGAATGCCCTGCCACAGAGGCAGGGTGGGATGGGGAGGGCGGGGGTGGGAGGGATACTGGGGTCCGTGGTGGTGAAGAATGGGCACTGGTAGAGGGATGGGTATTCGATCATTGTATAACTGAAACTCAAGCACAAAAATGTGTAAATCTACAACTGTACCTTATGGTGTTTCACTAATAAAAATCTAAAAAAAAAAAGAAGCTATGCAGCCCCATTTGTTAATTTTGTTGTTGTTGACTTTGCCAGGGGTATCAGATAATTGAAGACACACTTGAAGAGCAAATATTTATGTGTTCTTCCTATATTTTTCTCTTGTACTTTATAGTTTCTGGTCAAATCTCAAGGTCTTTGGTCCACTTTTAATTGACTTTTGTATGAGGTATAAGATATGGATCTAGGGCCGCAACCTGATTGGAACTGAAAGATATCATGTTAAGGAAAAATGACAAACACAGGATGGTCTCACTTATCCGTGGCATACTGAATAATGGATGAGAAAATGTACAATAATAAAGGGGGTCTAGATCACCCTTGAGCCCAGTGTTTGGAGAGGAAAAGGATGGAGAAGGGGAAGAAGAACATAGTAAGTAATGGGTTAACAGGGTTCAGGGTTTTAGTTATACTGATGATATGGGTGAGTGGTATAGACACATATCCAAAACAGACTCAACAACAATAAAATCATGAGATCTAACCTTCAGCCACTAGTATTTTGTAAAGTGCCTGTCAAGTTGACAGGCATAGAATATAACAGGGGTTGGTGGTTGGGAGGGAGTATGGGGACACTGGTGGAGGGAAGTTGACGCTGGTGGCGGGAGTGGTGTTGAAGCATCATATGCCTAAAACCATACAATCAAAATAAATTAAAAATGTAAAAAAGGAAGCCATGCCATATACTACATATTTTATTCCACTTAATTAGAGGGAGTAGAAAACGGTCTGTGCCTTGTGGTCAATGCCAAATATCTGTCAAACAAAGCAAGGGGCCATTTTGTTAATGTAACTTGGATATATAAGTAAGATCTAGAATCAATAAAAAACAGGAATATGTCTCCATTTGAAACAAGTGAAATGGAATAACAGAGTAGGTGGATGAAATTACTGACATTCAGAGTTCTTATGAAATAAACAACCTGGGTTGAGATAGGAGTAAACAGGTCAGTAGATTCTCATTATCTCATCTACAATATATGTGTAGATTAAAGCCAGAATTATATTCACCAACTGCTTTCTGGTTTTCCAAAAGAACACATTCTGAATCAACCTAATGGTCCCCTCTGATAAAGTGAAAACAACATCTGGTTATTTGACGGTATCAGAAATTGTTTCCATAAGCACGTGGATGAAGCTAGAACTCTAAAATATTTTTTCTCGAGATGTTATTTTGAACTAGATTAAAACTCCTATAACAAGTCTTTGTTGGATTATTTAAAATGATGAGCTAGGAAGAACTCTTTTAGTTGGTGAGGTTAAAGATAAAAAGGACATTTAAGAAGAGAATCCTTCTGTGCTTTGTGTTTCTTGAATTGTACTTGAGATATGTTACTATCGTACTTCTTAAAGCTGTGCCATGTAGATCTCCATGCAGAGCGGTGGAAGTAAGTGACTATTGAGGATATTTGAATACTGAAGTGACATCTCTGGGAAGTAGCTTTATTTCTAGGGACAGTTTCTCCTAGAGAAGATTTCAGTGTTTCTGAAATCTTATGGAGTGCTCCAAGGATTGTTATGTTAAAGTTTTCTGATGCTGCTTACACTTTTCACTTTTTATTTCTCATTGACTCAGAAAGTTATACATATGATTTTTAATTCCTCTGTTTTCAGGTATTTAGTTTAGAAAGAGATATTAAGGTTGGCATATGCTCCTCCTACAGAAAGAGAGCAAGCACATGAAACTACACTCAGTCATTCAAGTTTAGGTAATTGGAGGCAAGAGGGATAGTACAGGGGTAGGACACTTTATTCATATGTAACCAACCCAGGTTCAATCTCCAATATCCCACACGGGTCCCTTGAATACAGTCAGAAGTGTAACCTGAGCACAAAACCAGGAATCAACCCTGAGAATCTGAAGTGTGGCTTCAAAACAAGTTAAGGGAAGTTTAAAGTCCCAAGGCACAGATAAAAGCTCTAGTCTAGACTCAGAAAGGCCATCTGAAAGACTGTTACTTGAATGTATGAAAGAGAGAGAAAGAGAGACAGGCACAGTAAAAAGGGACTTTTTTGGTTACCTGCCCACTGCAGTCACAGGGCTCACTGAAAGCCACATATTCTTCTTCCTTGCTGTACATACCAAGGCTAATCTTAGATGGTTTCTCACTGGTGTCTTGCTGAAATTGCATCTTGGCTATATTGTCAAAGAGTTTGGAAAGATGACGTTGAACCTATGAAAGATAAACGTGAAAAGAGTGGTGATCATGTTCAAAATGTTACTCATTCAAATTGTTTATAGGGTCCCCATGTGACAATCATTATAATGTTGAATACGAAATATTTAATCGAAAGCTTGTGAATATGATGGTGTTTATATTTGGATAAACGTTTCCAATCCAGCTGAATTGGACAGGTGTATCCAAATAAAAAAAGTAATGTGAATTATATACTTTATATAAACTAATGATGGGCTGGAGCAATAGCACAGCAGGTAGGGCATTTGCCTTGCTTGCAGCCGACATGGACGACCTGAGTTCCATTTCTCTGCCCCTCTCGAGAGCCCGGCAAGCTACCAAGAGTATCTCACCTGCACGGCAAAGCCTGACAAGATACCTGTGACGTATTCGATATGAAAAACACAGTAACTAGTCTCACAATGTTACTGGGCCCACTCGAGCAAATCAATGAACAATGGGAGGACAGTGACAATGACAGTGAAACTAATGATGACACTGAAGTTTGATGAATTTATGTTTTTCCTAGTATAGATATTAGAGGTACATTTTCCTAGTGAACATATTAGAGGTATAATTATAGTTAATTAATAAAATATCTTCCTAAGAAAATCACTGTCACTGTCCTCCCATTGTTCATTGATTTGCTCGAGTGGTCCCAGTAATGTTGAGAGACCTGTTACTGTGTTTGGCATATTGAATATGTCATGGGTAGCTTTCCAGGCTTTGCTGTGTGGGTGAGATACTCTCGGTAGCTTGCCGGGCTTTCTGAGAAAATACTGTGGCATGAGATATGCAGGATAATCTGTAGAATAAAAGTTACATATTTAGATTGTCCCGTCAAGGGGGCTGGTGAAAGTGATCTTTGGATACATTGTCTGGTTGTCGGAACCACACGATTACAACAGATCAACATCCACAGGTCCGTAGGAAGACATAGCATACTAACACCAAGTAGAAAGCTTAACCATGTCAGAACCTCTCTTGACGATGTCACTCATGATGCAGAGGCTTTTAACAGTGATGCTCTGGGAAGAAGTTCTCATAGGGATACCAGACATAGCTATTCTGTGGTTTGAGGTAAAGAAAACAGAAGACTGAAGAATAAACAATAAATAGAAAGTTATTATTATGTAGCACATTTTAAAATATAAGGAGCTTAAGACTGTTGGTACTCTCAAGGCCACTCCTCGCGTGCTCAGGCCGAGCCTCACACATGAAACATACTCCTGGACTGTGACACATCATAAAACACTCCCTACCCTTTCAACATAATCACCACATCACATTTGATGAGATTTAGATAGTAGGCAACAAATCATAGAGGGAAATGAATATATATATGCATACATACATATTTTCAGATATATATACCAAGCTCACATCACCCAAACTTTAACAACATGTTAGTGATACCCTATAGAATGTCTTAATGGCTCCTGCCAAAATAGAACAATCTTCACACTGTTTACTATATAAACTCTTTTTTATAAGCATGTTCAGCAGTTCTTCATAACAGACAATACAAAATATATTATTTCAGTTGTGTTTTGGGACAGGGATTGGGGTTTGGGACGGGAACATCCCAAATTTGGTGGTGGGAAGGTGTAAAGGTGGTGGGATTGGTATTTGAATATTGAATGTAATCAAACATTGTGAAATAACTTAAAAAATTAAAAAATTTAAAAAGAAAGAAAGTTATGTGGAGTTCATGCCCAATTCAATCAGCTTAATTAATGGCTGAATAAATAGCAGTACTCCTAAATTATAAAAAATAAAGAAGGCTGATGGAGGATCCTCCCAGGAGGGGAGATGCATGTTGAAAGTAGACTATGGACTGAACATGTTTGCCACTCAATGCCTCTTTTGCAGACCACAACACCCAAAAGGAGAGAGAGAACGAAAGGGAATGCCCTGCCACAGAGGCAGGGTGGGATGGGGGGATGGGGGTGGGAGGGATATTATCCATGGTGGTAGAAAATGGGCACTGGTGGAGGGATGGGTATTTGATCATTGTATAATCGAAACCCAAGCACAAAAATTTGTAAATATACAACTGTACCTCATGGTGTTTCACTAATAAAAATTAAAAAAAAGAAGGCTGAGTTGTAAATTCTATATTTCCAACCAGTTCTTTAGTTGATAAAATGAAAGAAAAAATTCTAAGAGTTTTTCACATCAAGGTACTTGAAGAGACCCCAGTAATGATGACTTGGAAGAAATAACTTGGTGAGATGGATCCAACATATATCAAAATCAGACCTGTGCACAACAGGTAGGCACTCGCTGGAATGCAGCATACCCAACTTCAAGCCTTAGCACCCCATGTGGTACCCTGAGCCCTCCCAGGAATGGTCTCTGACACAGAGCCAGAAATAAACCATAGTACCACCCAGGTGTGACCCCAAAACAAAATATATTAAAATTAAAAAATACAGAAATCATGCTGTAACTTTAAAGGATAATCAAACAGAATTTGAGAAACATAATTATTAAAAACATCACCCTTTGTTATTTTAAGTGAAATAAAAGAAAGATGAACTTTATAATACATGAGGTAAAAGATGATTTAGAAAATAGAGAGAAGTAAAATAATAAAACCAGCACAGAGCATGGCAGAGTTAATAGTATTAGTAACACTACTGTACCAAATTTGCATAATTATTTAAATATGGATAATTTAAAATGGTAAATATTAAAAACTTTTATGAATAATTCCAAATAAAACTAATGAAATTATATTTAGATGTTTGAATATATGAATATTTGTAAGAACACATGAAGATAGTAATATAGGCAATGAAAATATTACTTGAGCAATAGCACAGTAGGTAGGGCGTTTGCCTTGCACATATTTAACCTGGTTTGATTCCTCTATCCCTCTTGGAGAGTCTGACATAGTACCAAGAGTATCCCCCATACACGGCAGATCCTGGCAAGCTCCCCATGGCGTATTCAATATGCCAAAAAACAGTAACAACAAGTCTCACAATGGAGACATTACTGGTGCCTGCTCGAGCAAATCAATGAACAACAGGTGGACAGTGACAGTACAGTGCTATTTAATTTATAGAATTATAACAAGTCTGTAGTAAAAATTCTAGTAAAAAGAATAGAAATGCTATTCTGAGGTTCAGAATATGTATATATATACATATATGTATATATAAATATATAAAATATATATATACACATATATAACCTAAGCTGCAGGCATGAGACTATGCATTAGATTCTTGGCACCACCTTAAAGTATACAGACATGCTACTCTTTGTATATAAGAAAGTAAAACTACATAACATACATGTTCAAATGTAAATGAGTATCTGCTTATTTTTGCAAAGATAACCATAAGAAACACGGAACTGGAGGAGAGAAAGACGTCACTCAGCAGGGGAAGATTCTGGGTGGTTTTGAACACACACTAAAGGATGCTGCACAGCCCTAGTACCTGACTAGTCTCACAGGTGGGCGTGGTTTTCAGAGCAAGGAGGAGTACAAGCTAGGAAAGACAGATGTGATTCGGTGGGTGGAGATTTTGAGTGTTTTGAGAGAGATGCTAATGGATGTTGCAGGGCCTTAATACATGGCTACTCTTCCAGGTCAGCATGGATTTTGGAGCTGGCAGCAGCTCACCAGGCTTGCAGTTAATATCCCCCACCGTATCTCATAAGACCCACAAATTGGCCTCTTCTACAGAACACTCGCCAAGGCAGTCAGGCTACCTCAACTGCTTTAGGCCTTCAGCTCATCAGACTTAACTCCGATCAAAACTCCCCCAAAACCCACAGAAGTAACTGTGATCACAAGAAACAAAACAACCCAAATAAACAGTTAGTTCAGGCAAAAGAATACAGTCCCAGATCCTTTTCCAGATCATAATCATGAAGATTGGATGTTCATACATTTGTGTGACATGCGCTTCCCTTAAATTTTGTTATGCACTTGACTCATTAGGCATCTGAGGTGAACTTTAAAAAAAACAAAACACATCCCCTGAATCATTACCAAATACCAAATTGAAAAGGAATGTCTCTGACTGGGAAAGAAGAGACAGCCCCACCTAGCCCCATCCTCAAAGATGACCTTGGCAGTGAGGGGTGAGATACTGATGGTGTATTAGAAATAACCACCTTCAGATTACCATCGGCACCATGGGGACACAGCACAGAATCCCACCATGAAGAGTAGCTGAAGATAGGAGCCCTGAAACCTCAGCAAGGAATGCCCACCTACATAATCTCTCTGAGAATGAAAGATAGGCGACTGGTAGGTATATACAGGGCATTTAATTGCCCAGAATTCTCCAGTGAACATGGCATATTTTCCAGGATAGACCACATTCTGAGCCACAAAACATACCTCCATAAAATTAAAAGAAAAGAATATCAACTACTTTTTCAGACTATACTTCATTTAAAAATGAAGGTAGTCACACACAGAAATGCGGCATCAAATCAAACACCTGAAATTAAAGCTCTCACTTTTGAAGAATCAGTGAATTATGGAGGAACTCAAAGATAAAATCAAAATACTTCTGGAAACAAACAAGAATGAGGACAAGAGTTGCAAGAATTTGTGGGACACAGCAAAAGCAGTGTTAAGAGGAAATTTTGTATCTCTGCAAGCACTTCTCAGGAAGGAGGAAAGGGCCCACAAAAGAACTTGAATTGAGAGCTTAAGATCTTGGAAAATGATCAACAAAAGGAGCCCAAACCAAGCAGGAGAAAGGAGGTAATAAAACTTAGAGAAGAAATTAATGACCTGGAATCCCCCAACCCCCTCAAAAAAAAAACCCAATAAAATCAAGATCTAGTTCTTTGAAAAAAAAATAAACAAGATTGATAAACCATTAGCAAGACTCATGAAGAAGGAGAAAGTGAGAACCCTAAAAAATGGAATCAGAAATGAAAGAGGAGATGTCACTACAGAATCCATAGAAATTCAAAAATCATCAGAGACAACTTTGAGAATCCTTTTTTTTTCTTCATTTTTTGGTCACACGCAGCAATGCTCAGGGGTTTCTTCTGGCTCTGCACTCAGGAACCACACCTGGCAGTGCTCAGGGGACCATATGGGATACTAGGAATTGAACCTGGGTCGGCAGCATGCAAGGAAAACACCTTACTCGCTGTGCTATTGCTCCAGCCCCAACATTGAGAATCTTTATGCTACAAAACAACCTGGATTTCTACAACCTCTTAAGGTTGAACCAAGTAAATTGGGAATACCTAAACAGACCTATCACTATCAAGTAAATTGAAATGATAATCAAAAGTCTGCACTCAAACAAAAGCCCAGGACCAGATGGATTCCCTGGTGATTTCTTTCAAACCTTTAGTGACCAACTACTGCCAAACCTTTTCAAGGTTTTCCAGACAACTGAAGAAACAGAAAAACTCCCAGTTTCATTGAGGAAAATATCAGCCTGATACCAAAAATACAGACACCACAAAAAGAAAATTACTGGCTGATATCCTTGATAAATGAAGATGCAAATATTCTCAACAAAATTCTAGCAAATAGAATTCAACAAATCATCAAAAAGTTCATATAACATTACCCAGTAGGATTCATCCCAGGGATTCAAGAATGGCTTAAATACACAATCAATAAACATAATACACCATATTAATAAAATATTAAGAGCTGCTGAGAAAGTATTTGACAAGATCCAGAACTTTTTCATGACAAAAATTCTCAACAAAATGGGAACGGAAGGAACTTTCCTCCATATAGTCAAAACCATCTACCAAAAGCCCATAGTAAGCATTTTTCTCAATGGGGAAAATCTAAAAGCCTTCCCTCTAAGGTCAGGAAAAATTCAATGGTTCCCACTCTCACCACTCCTATTCAATATAGTAGTGGAAGTATTTGCCATTGAAGTTAGGCAAGAAGAAGAAATCAAGGCATCCAGATAGGAAAGGAAGAAGCCAAGAATTCAGTCATTGCAGAAGATATGAGACTCTGCTTAGAAAATTCTAAAGACTACCAAAAACGCTCTTAGAAACAATAGTTTTACATAGTAAAATGGCAGTTTATAAAATCAATACCAAAACTCCATGGCTTTCCTATATGCAAATAATTGTTTTTTAAAAAAAGATTTAAAAAAATCCCTGTTCACAACTGTGCTTCAGAAAATTAAGTGCCATGGAATCATCTTACTAACTAAAGAGGTGAAAGAACTATACAAAGAAAACTACAAAACACTACTATAATAAATAAAAGAGGACAAAAGGAAATGGAGACACAACCACTGCTCACGAATTGGGGGGAGTAATATTGTCAAAATGGCAATTCTCCCTAAAGCATTATACATTTTTGATGTATTTCCTATAAGGGTACCAATGGCATTTTTCAAAAGGAATAGAGCAAGCAACTCTGAAATTCATATGAAACAATAAACCCCGATGAATATCTAAAACAGTCCTTGGGAAAAAGAAGATGGGAGGCATCACCCTCCCCAACTTCAAACTGTGCTACAAAGTGGTAGTAATTAAAACAGCATGATATTGGAATGAAGACAGATCCACAGATCAATGGGATAGAGTTGAATATTCTGCACAGTACTTCAAAAATATGGCAACTTAATCTTTGATAAAGTAGAAGGAAATGTGAAGTGGAGCACGAAAAGCCTCTTCTTCAACAAGTCGTGCTGGGAAAACTAGGTGACTACACATAAAAAAAATGAATTCAGACTTCTATCTAACACCATGCACAAAAACTTGATAAAAATAGATTAAATACTTCAACATCAGACCTGCATCCATGGAGGAAAATATAAGCAGAAGTGTCCAAGAAATTGAATGTAGGACATCTTCAAAGATGAAACACCACTAACAAAGTAAGTTGAAGCAAGGATAAACAAATAGGACTACTTTAAACTAAGAAGATTCTGCACCTTGAAAGAAATGGTGCTCAGGATACAAAGACAGCCCACAATGAGAAAAATTACCCAATATCCATCTGTAGGGGATTAATATCAAAGATCTATAAGACACTGGTAGAACAAGTGCCTTTTTGTTCTTTACAAGAAAAAAAATCCAAAACCACCAAAAAAGGGGGGGGGGCAGAAGAAATGAACAGAAACTTCCTCAAAGAAGAAATCCAGATGGCCAAAACAAACAAGAAAAAATTCTCTAAACTACTAATCATCAGGGAGATACAAATCAAAACAGTGAAATGTCATCTCACATCACAAAAGTTACTTCTGAATAATCAGTAAAAACATGAGCTACTAAGAGCTGGTATGGATGAGGGGAGAAAGGAACTCTCATTTATTGTTGGATGGGATACTGACTGGTCCTACCTTTTTGGGAAACAATAGGAATGGGAGGTGGGGGTGGGAGGGCTACTAGGATCATTGGTGGTAGAGAATGAGCACTGGTGGAGGGATGGGTACTCGATCATTGTATAACTAAAACCCAAGCACGAAATTTTGTATGTCTACAACTGTACCTCATGGTGCTTCACTAATAAAAAATAATAATAGTAACCAAAAAAATAAAATAAAACACTGATCATTGCTAAAAAAAAAACAAACTAGAAATTAAGCTTCCATTAGATCCAGCAATACTACTTCTGAGTATACACTCTTGGAAACCAAAACCACACAGCAGAAATGCCATCTACACTTTTGTGTTCATTGCAGCTCTATTTACAATAGCCAGAATTTGGAAATAAACTTAGGGTCCAAGAACAGATGACTGCACAAACAATAGTACATCTTTCACTGTCCTCCCATTGTTCATCGATTTGCTCGAGTGGGCCCAGTAATGTCTCCAGTGTGAGACTTGTTGTTACTGTGTTTGGCATACCAAATACATCACGGGGAGCTTGCCAGACTTTGCCGTGTGGGCAAGATACTCTTGGTAGCTTGCCGGGCTCTCCGAGATGGGTGGAGGAATCGAACTCAGGTTGGCCATGTTGGCCGTGTGCAAGGCAAATTCCTTACCTGCTGTTCTATAACTCCAGCCCATCGTATATCTACACAATTGAATATTATACAGTCACCAGGAAAAAAATTAAGTCATAAAATTTGCTATACATGGATCAACATAAAAAGTATCATGCGGAATGAAATGTATTAGAAGGAGAGGAACAGACAGAATGATAACACTCATTTATGGGATATAAAAAAAGATAGTATGAGACTATTATACAAGTAAAGTAGAAATGAGGATCAGGAGGACTACTCCATGAATAGAAGCTTGTCATAAGTATGTGTGTGTGTGTGGGGGGGGGAGGGGTTGAGTATAGGGCCGTGAGGATAGAGAAGGGACTACTATGACATTGATAGTTGGAAATGATCATTCTCAACAAGAGCTGCATGCTGAAAGTAAGTCAGTAAAAAAAAACACACAAACATGATAACTTCAGTTTGTATTGCAAATCATAATGCCCCCAAAGAAAGATGTGCATCTTATATATAAATATATGGACTGGAGAGAGAGAGAGACAGAGAGAAAGACAAAGAAGAAATGTGCCTGGCATACAGGCAGGTGATGGGGAGTGGTGGGAGGGAAACTGGGGACATTGGTGGTGGGACAGGTTTTGGAACATTGTATGACAAAATCCAAGCATGAGCAACTTTGTATCTGTAAAAAATAAGATAATTAAACCTAAAAAACTAAATTTTTTTTAAAAAAGAAACTTAAGGAACTGGTTATCTGGAGGAGTTAGTGGGGGAGATAGTGATACCATGAAAGGAGTAAGTAAAGAACATATGCACGTCTCTAAATATACATGTCTTCTGGTTTAGTTTGATGCTTAAAATTATATATACTTAAACTGTAAAATCAAATAGAATAAGAAAAATTGAAAGGAAATGTAAATAGATAACCCAATTATACGTCAAATAAGTTATAAAGTAACAATTGAAGCAGAAGTCACCCAAGTTACTTCTGAGTATAGTATTTTGACTATAGTCTGAAGAGAAATAAGAGAACTATAAACAAGTGAATTATTTTTAGTGTAAGGTGAGAAATAAGGAAAACTAAAGAACATAACATGCAGTAGAAATAGCATGTCTTCCTCCAGTATGTCATTTTTAAACTCTGTGGTCTACTATAGTGAATCTCAAATTATGATGCTTACACAAGCAGACAATGTTTATGAGAAACAGCCTTGTTCCTGACGCCCCATTCGCTCTCAATGGAACAACCATCTCCGAATGCAACAGCTATGTGTACCTAGGTCGAGAGGTCAACATGACAAATGACCTGGCACCCGAGCTGCACAGGAGGAAGAGAGCGGCTTGGAATGCCTTCAAGAACGTCGAAGAAATAGCTAAGAGGACGAAGAACCTCCGGCTCCGGGCACATCTCTTTGATTCCACTGTTCTTCCTGCATTAACATATGCCTCAGAGACCTGGGCCCTATGCAAACAAGATGAGAATGCCATTCAGGTCTCCCAAAGAAGAATAGAAAGAGCTATGCTTGGAAGATCACGTTTCACTCAAATGAGAGAACGAATCCGGAATTCTGACATCCGTCGACGATCAAGAATCAGGGATGCTGTCTCATTTGCCAAGGTGTCGAAAATCAGATGGGCTGGTCACGTAATGAGATTTAAACACGACCGTTGGACTAGAGCTGTTACTGATTGGATTCCACGGGATGTCAAGAGACCGCGTGGCCGCCCACCTACCAGATGGTCAGACTTCTTCGTCAAGATCATGAACGATCGGTTTGAGGCTCTTCATGTTCCCGGAGCGAACAGATGCCATTGGGCTACACTAGCACACGACAGGGACAAATGGAGACGTTACTGGAGCCCGCTCGAGCAAATCGACGACTAACGGGAAGTTAAGTGATTAAATGATTAAGTGACACAAGCAACCTCAATGGGAAATCCTCATACGTACAAATTATACAGGCCCTTTGAAACTATGGTGCCGGACACTTAAGAGGTGGGATCTGTCACTGTCACTGTCCTCCCATTGTTCATCAATTTGCTCGAGTGGGCCAAGTAACGTCTCCATTGTGACAATTGTTACTATGTTTGGCATATCGAATACATCACGGGTAGCTTGCCAGGCTTTGCTGTGCAGGCGAGATACTCTTGGTGGTAGCTTGCTGGGCTCTCCGAGAGGGGTGGAAGAATCGAACTCAGGTCGACCATGTTGGCTGCGTGTAAGGCAAACGCCTTACCCGCTGTGCTATCGCTCCAGCCCAAGAGGTGGGGGGTCTAAGATTATATATTTTAACAAGAATTCCAAATAACTTTTGTTTGAAAACCTGAGGTATCTGAAGTCTATAGCTACAGATAACAAGGCTGTGGCTTCAGATAACAAGGTAAGAATTTTAGAGACGACAGAAGTCTCTTACCAAAAAAAATGATATGTTCAAGTCTATATGGCTAAGTGACTAAAGTGACTAAAGCTACTATATAAGCAAGGAGGTGGCACTGTAGCACTGTCCTCCCATTGTTTATCGATTTGCTCCAGCAGGCACCAGTAATGTCTCCTTTGTGAGACTTGTTACTGTTTTTGATATATCGAATATGCCCTGGGGAGCTTGCCAGGCTCTGCCATGCAGGTGGGATACTCTCGGCATCTTGCTGGGCTCTCCTAGAGGGATGGAAGAAACAAACCCAGGTTGGCAGCATGCAAGGCAGTTGCCCTACCTGCTGTGCTAGGAGGTAGTACAAAAATTCTGCATTCTTCATATGTACTCTTTCAATGAAGCCACACCAATGTTTAATTAACACAAATCACAACCCTATCTCCTAATGGAAATTTTAGCTACAACTTTTAACTGTTTCTCATGGGATGTTTAATTAGAATCAGATCTAAGTACTGTCTGTAAAGGTATGGTCCCTTTTCCCACTAATATATAACAACGACCACGACCACGACCATCCTGTTATTCGTCGATTGCCTCGAGCAGGCCCCAGTAACGTCTCCTTCATCCTAGCCCGGAGATTTTTTTAAAAGTGCCATATTCAAGGCTCTTTCAGAGTTAGGAGAATGAGACCCATCATTGTTACTGGTATTTGGCATATTGGGTACGCTACGGGGAGTTTGCCAGACTTTACTGTGTTGGCAGGTTACATTCGGTAGCCTGCCAGTTTGTCCAAAGTAGGAATGAGATATTAAGATGTCACGCGGCCGCAAATGCGGCTGCATGGTTCCAGGAACTGGGTTTTATAGTCTCTGAGTCTTGGCCGTTGATGGAATTACATGGTGCCAGGGGGCCAGTTGGTGGGTGTGACCCCCACCTACTGGAATTTGGAGGATCTGGGTGGAGGATGCTCAGACCCTATCCGAATAGGCTTGGAGATCTCAGCCCCGGGACCTGCATGCCTTTGTTCCTCTGCCGGTACCTTCATGTGTGTGGATAGTGGTCTCAGCATGGTGGTGGCTGGTTCTGGAGGTCTTTGGCTGGAGGAGCCCTGGTCGGGGTGGGGAGGGAAACTCAACCCGCTCCCCTCCAAGGGGCCCCAGTGAGGACAGCCAGGCGTGGGGGCAGGAGGCTCTGCACTGTTCTCCTCCGGGAGCTGGGTTTTATAGTCTCTGAGTCTTGGCCATTGATGGGATTACATGGCGCCAGGGGGCCAGTTGGTGGGTGTGACCCCCGCCTACAACAAAGCTTCTCAAATCTACTTTACAAACTAACAGCCACTCATGGTCTGTAGGGCAACCTAAGAAGTCATGACAGAAATGAGGGAGGCTCTGAGGTGAGGCATGATAGCAACATGACAACAGCATCTGAATATACATACTAAGAGAAGAGGCAGATAAGGAACGTGGGGTTCTCACCTGTTGGGAACTCTAAGTGCATGCGGATGTACATAACCCCCTAGGGCTTACCTGTTGTGGAACTGTGCCATTGGAAAGGATGTCTAACAAATCAGATGAGGAGAGAAAGTAAAACCTAGGGAAGGCAAGTCTTTTGGTGTCCAGGTACTCTGCCAAAGCCTTCTCACACAGGTGTAATCTGGGGGCACAGACAGAATCTTCTAAGTAAGATTCCTAGAATGATAGGCATATTTATGTTACTTAAGTGCAAATATATACAATATATGGAACGAAAGAAATTAGAGTGAGACTCAGAACTGTTTAAATATGTACATCTGAATACTTTTATGTCAAATTAACACAATTATGTAACAGTACCCAGACACAGTGGGAAATCATTGTAATATACTCACTCACTAGGCATTTAAATAAAGAGCTCAACTATACAGAGAGAAAAGGAAATATTGCCCTTCTCATTACAAAAGGGTAGCAAGCAGACTATCACCTGCTCTGAATATCTTCCAGCTTTTCATAGAGTCCTGATTTATTGGTGGCTTCTACTACATTTGGAGTTTTCTGAGCATCATAAGCTAGTTCTTTAAAGTCAGCATCAATGCCTTCAAATCTTTTAGAATCCTGCAAAAAGGAAATGCCTTTAGTTTAAAACAGCAGCAATAATGCATTTTAGTCTTAGAACTCAGTTATGCTTTTTAAAATAATTGGAGAACAAAGAGTTTTTGTGCACAGAAGAAATATCTCTTTTAATGTAACTTTTATAGTAGAAGCTAAAGTTAATTTGAAAAACATTTGTTAATTCATTTAAAGCATGACAACAACAACAAAAAACACTATGGTGACATAATAAGGTTTTTTTTTCCTATCAAAAAACGATAGAAATAGAGGGTATGGTGCCGCCAGCAGGTCAATCTGTATTGTGAGGCGAGTGCATCAGCAGCCTGATGGTACCTTCAGACTTCCAGACACCCCAAAATTACTGCTGTGCCTTTGGCCAGACCCAAAAAACTTGGGGCGAAATTTACCAAGAAAGTAAACGGCCAAAAGTTAGGTATGTGGGAAACATACCCACAAACCACCTCCAACTCAGCTATATAATTGGAGGCATGGCCTCTCTGGTTCATGATTGAACTGCTTAATGGCCATAATCCCAGAGACTCAGAAACAAATCTCAAGACCCAGCGGCTTTTGGCAGAAATGTGTCCAGTCCCTGCAGTAGGTTACCGGTGCTGGGCCACTCCAGGTGGGAATAGGTTTCATGCCTTGGCCTGTTCCCCCTGGTGGCCCAGTGGCTGCCATCCTTCAGAGGCCGTCGGACAGTCAGTTTTGGGTCCCCAGTGAGGAGACATTTTGGGCCTCAAGGGATGGGGATGGAGCCGGGCCTGTCCTCCCCACCCCAACGAGACCCCAAGTCATCACCCAAGAATGGCCTCTCTGGCTCCTGATCAAGCTGCTTAACGGCCATGATCCCAGAGACTCAGAAACAAATCTCAAAACCCAGTGGCTTTTGGCAGAAATGCATCCGGACCCCACAGTAGGTTACTGTTGCCAGGCCACCCCAGGGGGGAAAGGGTGTTGTCCCTCTGCCTGCTCCCCCTTGGCAGCTCAGTGGCCATCATCCTCCAGAGGCCACTGGACAGTCAGGTCTGGGCCCGCAGTGACGAAACTTGTTGGGCTTCACAGGATGAGGGTGGAGCCGGTTCTGGTCTCCCCGTTCCAACGAGACCCCAAGTCATCGCCCACGAACGGCCTCTCTGACTCCTCATCATGCTGCTCAATAGCCATGATCCCAGAGACTCAGGAGCAAATTTCAAAATTCAGTGGCTTTTGGGAGAAATCCCTCCAGATTTAAGTGTTAAAATTTCGGAATTTCAAAATCATATGGCCCCACTGCAGCCATGCGACATCATATGTTATTCATAACTAGCAATAGAACACAAATTGTCTACTCTTGCCTTTTCAGCAGAACTGAGTGTTGGGGTAAAATCTCAAATAATAATGGTGGGTCTGGTGTCAAAATATTGAATGTGATCAAAGTAGAGAGAAAGTAATGTGGAAATAATCTGTTCCACAGGTAGGGGGAGGGTGTGGGATGAGGGCGTACTGGGGTTTTTGGTGGTGGAGAATGGGCACTGGTGAAGGTAGTGTGGGATGAGGTGTACTGGGGTTTTTGGTGGTGGAGAATGGGCACTGGTGAAGGTACAGGTGTTTCATTGTATGACCGAGACTTAGACCTGAAAGCTTTGTAACTGCTCTCACAGTGATTCAATAAATAAAATAAAAAATGAAAAAAAAAAGTAAGGTGGAATTCATGCACAATTCAATCAGCTAATCAGTGGCTGAAAAAATAGCAGTATTCCTACAAAAAAAGAAAAAAAATAAAGTTTTTTTTTAAAAAAAGTGGTATGGACATGTGGCACTTTAAAATCAAATTCACTTGTAGACAAATAAATTGAAGGAATACAGAGAAAATGAGAAAACATTTTTTTTCCTAACAAAGTATACAAAGTATACTGTTAGGGAGTATTTAGTATTGTGGCACAGGAAATGATAGGAAACAGCTTACTGATGGGAAGGAACTTGAATTTTACTAGAAACAAGGTTTGCTCTCAGTTGCCACCTCCATGGTAGTTATCTATGGAGCAAACTATAAGCAGTTCAACCCAACTGAAGTTGCTATTTTTTATGTATGGATAGAGTTAAATAAAACACACACACACACACACACACACACACACACACACACACACACACACCTGACTCTCCTTACTTTTCAATGCTAATCTAGAAATAAAAAGGTTGACATGAGTAGGAATGGTGCTGCCAGCAGATCAACCTGTACCTGTGCGGTGAATGCATCAGCAGCCTGATGGTGCCTTTAAACTTCCTGATACCCCAAAATTGCCACTGTGACTTTGGCCAGACCCAACAACTTGGAGCCAAGTTTACCAAGAAATTAAATGGCCAAAAGTTAGGCATGTGGGACCCAGGACTCAGGGTGGGTTCAAAAACCACCTCTGGCTCAGCTATATAAGCTCATTTATTGGCCTATTTCAGAGACCCATAAATCCCATAAAGAGATAAGAAAACCGAAGTTAGGCCTGGTGGTGTGGTGCGCTTCGGGCAAATGGGCACACCCCGTAGGGCATATGCTTATAGTTTATTTCTCTGGAAAAGATGGCAACAAGGGTCATGATCCAGACACACATAATAGAATCTCTGAAACAAGAAGCTTGCTGCAGAGATGTCTCCGGACTTTAAGCCAGGCCACCTTCACTGGGGTGACTCAGATGGGAGCAGCTATCATCCCTCTAACTGCCCCAGTGGCCACCAACTTCCAGAACCCAATGAGAAATGCAGATACGTGGGTTTAGTGATGGAAAACTCTAGGCCTCAAGGGATAGGGGTTTGTCCAGTCACTCTCATCCCCCATCCCCCATGGGACCCTGGAGGTCACACCCATACCCACACCCACAAACTGCTTCTAACTGCTACTTAGGCTCCTTAATGGCCGTGATCTAGAGACACACAAAAGAATCTCCAAATTTAGCAGCTCACTGCAGAGAGTTCTTCAGACTCTAATTATCTAAATTTTAGGATTCTGTAGCATGCAGTCATTCTCATGGCTGTGCAAAATCTTATGGTATTCATAACAAGCAGTACAAAAAAGAGTATGGGGAGATTGTGCCATAGAGGAGGAAGGAGGGGTGGGATGGGGGAATACTGGGGTTCTTGGTGGTGGAAGATGTGCACTGGTGGAGGGTTGGGTGATCAATCATTGCATGACTAAAACTAAAACAGGAAAGCTTTGTAACTGTATCTGACTGTGATTTAAAAAAATTCAATAAATTAACATACTGAATGAAAAAAAGTAATGTAGAGTTCATTCCCGATTCAATAAGCTTAATCAATGGCTCAATAAATAGCAGTACTCCTACATAAAAAAATTTTACATGAAATTTCGTATTTTTCTAACTTTTGTGACTTGCAGTTTCAACACTCAAGTGCTCTTGAGTGAATCCAAGGCAGCCAAGCCAAGAAGAAAGACAACTAGAGATACCTGAAGAGGTAGTTTCCTCTTGACTTGGGTGTGAAAGCAAAGAGAGAAGCAATTTTTAACCAGTACCTGTGGCAGTTGAGCTCTGATATCTTCAGATCCGATGAATATACTTTCCAGATGAGACCATGTGCGCTGAACATCAAACCAGATAGAGATGACAGCATCAGCTATAGATAACTTTTTCTGCCAACCAGATACTTCCTCCAGGAAGAAAGCAATGTACTTTGACGTCATTAAGTTCTGAAGTTGGACTTGGTTATCCTCCAGAACTTCAATGAGGTCCTCATCAGATTGTAGTAGGGGAACACTGGTTCGTGGGTGCAACTCATACTGGAATTCCATGCCAGCCCAGGTGATCTGCAGCTCTTTTAACATCTTCTCCATACCCATCTCTTTCACAGCTTTATCTACAATGCCTCGGACTTCATCCTCAAAGTGGTGCAGCTGGAGCTGCAGGAGCTGTGCCAGGGTTGTGTTCTCATCCATGGTGAAGCTTACACCTGTGGCTTGCATCAGCTGTCTCCAGTGCCTCTCCCGTATAGCAGGATTCTGCAGCTCTGCTACTGCTCTTAGAGAGGACAGAGTGTTCAACACAGTGCTTTCCAGGCCTGTGAATGCATCCCAGGATCTTATCTTTTTATCAAGATTCCTGATGTGTCTGGCAAACCGTTTGCACTCCAAGTCCATTGCCTCCACATTGATATCCCTCCATCTGGTATTCTCCCAGGCATGGATACTAGAGGTCACAATCCCAATAGTGTCCCAGAGCTCTTTCAACTGGCAGACCTCTCTTCTGCACTGTTTCAGCTGCTTGTATTCAGGAATATTGACCTCAAACAAACTGGCAGATTCAGAAATGGAGGCCATAGTGGATTCCATTTGCTGGATGTCAAAGTGCCTTTCATCCAGCATTTGATGAGGGTCACGGCTATCAAATCTACAAAACATAGCAGATGCCCTCTGTAAGTACAGGGACTCATTTTCTAGAGCCATAAAGAGAGTGCCAGTTTAAACAATTATATGCTTAATATTCCACCATAGAGCAATACATTTAACAAAAGGATAGGAAGAAAAGAAATATTGGAGAGGTTGAACTGGGGTGAGTATAACTGTTTTAAAGAACATTATGATGTATCTTCTCTTCATATCTAAGAAGACAAAAGTATTCTCATCTTCAAGATTCACCAGACAGGTGTAGAGGAGAACATTTTTTAATTACAAAATTTAATTGAAGTACTATTATTTGCAAAATAAAATTGACAGTTTAGTTTAAACATATAATATTTCAACAACAATCCCACCACTAGTATCAACTTCCCTCCACCAGAGTTCCCATATTCTTAGTCAACCCTAAACCCCACCCTACCCCCATCTGTCAACTTGACAGAAACCTTACAAAGTCCCAATGGTTCCAGCTTAGACCTTATGGTTTCAGGGTTCTCGAGTCTGTGTTTTGGATATGTGGCTAAACTACTCACTCGTATCAGCAGTATAACTGAAGCCTTCTTCCTATTTCATGATTTCTTTCCTTCTCCATTCTTCTCCTCTCCAAATACTGGGGTTAAGGGTGATGTAGAAATCACACTTCCCCTTTTTCGACAATATATTTCTTCACCCAGTATTCTATACACCATAGATAAGTGAGATTACCCTGTGTTTGTCTATCTTCTGGCTTGTTTCACTCAACTAAATATCTTCTGGTTCCAACCAGGTTGCAGTAAATTGCATGATTTCATCATTCCTTGCAGCTTCATGGTATTTCATTGTGAATATATGCTACATTTCCATAACCCTTTTATCTCTCATTGGAAACCTAGGTTGACTCTATATCTTAGCTAATATACTAAATGAAGATATGAATAATGATGTGCATATGTGTGAGTTCCAAAAGAAGGGCATTGGGGTGAGTGATGAAAGTGTTCAGTGACCGAGAACCGTTCCCCTGGCTGGCCCAGGGTGACAGACGAAGAACTGTGGGAATGGAGAAACAGGAACTGGGCCCCAGGCTGGTTGGTAGTCAGTTTACTTCCCTCTCCTCCCCAACATAGTCCAATTTCTCTGTTACAGCACAATTATAGTCGTACTTTTGGTCGGAGTCCCAGTCATCGCAGTTCCATCATTCATTCTCCTTGTAGACTCAATGTCCTCTACTAGTCCTCGTATTCCCCGTCGTCTAATCCAGTCCTTCTCTTCCTAGTCTCATAATCAGCATCTTTCTACTCTCCTCTTTCCACTTACAGCATAGTTATACAGAAATAATGAAGGGCAGGGTACACATAGGTGGGGTTGAACATGGTCATAACAACAAACATGTGAAGCCACTTCTTTGGGGAGAAGCTCTAGGAGATTAACTCAAGAACAAAATCTCATCTGAGGGTTCAGCACTCCAGATAACTGGGAGATCAGCTTAAGAGCGGGATTCCATCCAGGGTGTATTGTTTTCTCTTTTCCTCAGCTAGCAATTTATTTAAACAATCATAGTAAATTTACTTCTTATAATATTTCTAGTCATTTTGTATGAACACCGTAAGAGATATATTAAGATTAAAGGTTGGCTCTTCCTGGGGACATCTCAATACATATCCCAGATTATAGTTCTCTGGACAGGTTAGTCTTTCCTATCCCCAGCAGGATTCTTATCCTATTAAATTACTTCTTTTTGGGTCATGACAGAATTTGTTCTATGACCATGCTCTTGTTATTTTAACCATACTTAGCTTGTCCCCTTTCAATGCCAGGGTAGCTTACAGCTTGCCCTCGGTTTATCCAGTCCCTTCGTTGGGATGCTCTTTTTGGGGGTTTTAAGAAGTAAAGGCAACTGAGGCTTAAGTCAAGTAAATATAATGGATGCCCAGGAATAAATATTATTTTGAAGTCAATTAACTCTCATGTTACAAAAGGATGGCATCAACTGTCTTCCTGTGTTTATGCAAAAAGGACATGGCTAAATAAACCATGCAAAGAACATAAAGAAAAGAGAAAAGCAATATGAGATTATTAGTGCTTGATGGTAGTGGGTGTGTCTCAGGGGCACTGTTGTAGAAATAACTCAATATATCTAAGCTCCCTGAAGAGAAGCAAGGACAACCATATGTTATCCAATACATATGTCTGTGTGAAAGAACATCTTATTTTTTATGTATTTTAACTTTTTATTGAATGACCATGAGATACACAGTTACAAAGTTGTCATGATTTAGTTTCAGTTATTCAATGTTCCAACACCCATCCCTTCACCAGTATACATTTCCCAGTTTCTCTCCCACCACTATCCAGAGGTTGAATCTATAGCAGGCGCTTTTCTTCTCTACTCTCTCCCTCCCTCCCTCCCTCCCTCCCTCCCTCCCTCCCTCCCTCCCTCCCTTGATTCTTCCTTCCACACCTCCTTTTTGAGCATTATGGTTTGCAAGATAGGTACTGAAGGCTATCATGTTTGTTCCTTTACCGACTTTCAGTTCTTATTCAGAATGATCATTTCCAACTATCTTTGTCATAGTATTCCTTTCTCTATCCTAACTGCCCTCTTCCCCCACCATTTGAGGTAGGCTTCCAACCGTGGAACTTTTTTTTTCTCCTTGTGATTATTCATCTCATACTATATTTTCTTATATTCCATTCTTATAGATTGCAATCATTCTATATCTGTCCCTCTCCTTATGATATATTTCACTCAGCATGATATTCTCCGTGTTCATCCATTTACAAGCAAATTTCATGACTTTTATTTTTTCCTGGTGGCTGCCGGATATTTCATTATGTATAGGACATCTTATTTATTTTTAAGTCTGCTCTAGACAGTGTTTCACTTTAATCTTATAGATCACTTGAAACAAAGTACCACTGTCACATTACAATAATGTAAGCCAAAGTTCTGTCATGAGCTACCAGTAGCATACTATTAGTCTTTAAATGATAGAGTTGACTCTTAGAAGCGCCACCCTTATATGTAACATTGCTCCCTCTAAACCACTAACTATTATTATTGGCCATTTATTAGTATTTCCATGACATTTCGAATGATCTCCATGTATATGTGTTCTCTGGTTCAATTAAATAAGAATTATTGAAGCATGAACTGGGGGAATGGGAGTTTTAATCTCCCCAGGTGCTACCAATATGCAAAACTGATGTCCCTTTCTTTGGTAAACCACATGCTTATGGCTTGCATCACCTTCAGGCAAAAGTTACTTCAACTTTAAGAACCACTAAGAGGGATCTTGGAAACTACAGCACAGAACCAAGATTTTATGCCATTACTAGGGCTTTCCCTTACTGTACACCTCAAAGTCTTCTAGTCTTTTAGTTCTCTCCAATATTTCTCTGACCTCCTTCTATACCCCAGGCCAGTGTGTGATTCTGTACTTGACCCATAAGACTTTATCTACTTTCAAGTTTGGGTTTTTCATCCTCTTCTTTTTGATGCTTATGCCATCCATTCACTGTCTATGCTCCTACTCTTTCCTATTATTATCTTCTTTATGTTGCTCCAACTCCATACTTCAGTTGTTATTTGATTCTCTCCTTTAAGATAAGGACTATATGTGCGGAGGAAATCGCATGTGCAGATAAAGGAATTTGGTCATTAGTACTCAAAAGTTAAGTGTTCAAGGAGCCTTTTATTTTCTCCTCTAGGCCCCTGTTGGCTTTTACATCACCAATTTTATGTTTCCTTGTAACCATGTGCTTAGTGTGCCATAATTTAAGGGTTTGTACCACACATTTCTTGAGAATCAGATAAGGGCAATCACAGGATTCATCATCAGAGAAATTTGAAAAAAAATTAAGTAGTGAATTGACAATTGCTTCCAATGTGTCTGCTTGGATGCTGGTTAGTTTGTGGAGTCTGGAGGAGAGGAAAAGTTGTATTACTTTTCTTGAGCTGCCTTGCCTATACTCTCAGATGTCATTAGAAACATGTGATTTGGTAGATGGAAAGTAATCTTAATTAAAGCCTGAACTGCTTACCATTTAAACCTAATTATCATGCAATACAGTAATACTTATGCATTAAATCAGATTAACTTAAATGTTGCTATGTTTGATTTTAGTTTGTTTCATCTAAGTGTTTTTAGCTTATGTATTCTGATTATGGATTTACATCTTAAGAGAGTAAAATAGACTATCATTGAATTCAATTGAATTCAATCAGTGCTTCAAAAATGAACATCAGGTTGGAGTTCTCAGAGATGAAAAGAGTTGTCTATATAGGCAAGTTTTGTTTGTTTTTTTCACAACATGAGAGTAGGGCTGGAGCGATAGCACAGCGGTAGGGCATTTGCCTTGCGCGTGGCCGACATGACTGACCTGGGTTCAATTCCTCCACCCCTCTTGGAGAGCCCAGCAAGCTACCGAGAGTATCTCACCCGCACGGCAAAACCTGGCAAGCTGCCTGTTACGTATTCAATATGCCAAACACAGTAACAACAAGTCTCACAATGGAGTCATTACTGGGCCCACTCGAGCAAATCAATGAACAACGGGAGGACAGTGACAGTGACAGTGATGAGAGTAGGGGCAAAACGTAAAAGAAAAAAAGGGTAACCAATTTATGGAAAAATTATCCAGCAGAAAAGATTATCCAACAGGGTTACTCAATGTTGATTTTCAAAGACTAACTGTTGGAGTATGTAGTTTCTCCTTATAATTGGGGCTAGAGTAAGTGAAATTAGCTTCTTGGGGTTACTATAAGAGCTATTAACCTAAAAAGTTCTAAAAAGTCCAGTTCATTCAAATTTATTAATGGAGGAACCAAAGAGATAATCCAGGGGTTTAAGTACTCATCTTTCATGTGCTGACCCTGGTTTGATCTCTGGTGCTGCATATTGTCCCCCAAGCACTTCCAAGAGTGATCCATGAGCACCAAGCCAGGAGTAAGTTCTGAGAACTGTTGGATGCGCCCCAAAACAAACAAATAAATTTATTATTTGTGTTTAATTA